GTGGGTTTTTGCTTGTTTGTTTTGAAAATATTTATTTATTTGCCTGTGATGGGTTGGCACTGGGAATCTTCAAACTTCATTGTAGCATGCAACAAACAAACACTTAATTGTGGGACCTAGTTCCCTGCATATATGCGTGTTAAGTCACTTCAATCATGTCTGACTCTTGGTGACTCTAAGCCCATCAAGCTCCTCTGTCCATTGGATTCTCTAGGTATGAATACTGGAGCGGGTTGCCATGTCCTCCAGGGAATCTTCCTGATTCAGGGATTGAACCTAGGTCTCTTACATCTCCTGCATTGGCGGGGTGGGGGGGTGGGGGCCTTTACCACTAGTGCCACCTGGGAAGCCCCTAATTCCCTGACCATGGGTTGAATCCAGGCCCCCTGCATTGGCAGCACAGAGTCTCAGTCATTGGACCACCAGGGAAGTCCTTGGGGTGAAGGTTTATCCAACACTGGTCAATGATGAGAAACACTGTACCTCATTAAGATGTATGGCCCTATTATTGGAAGATTGTGTCCAAAATGAAGCAAAGGTCATAATGAGAATGAGAAGCTTTGGAACCATCAAGTTCTTGTGCTCTCTATCCATAGTTACAAGGCAACTTTGAGAATTCACTTTCCTGGGCTCAGAAACTGTGGCATGGACAGGGTACATGAGAATTCTAGACTTCAGGATACTGAAGGCGAGGAGGGAGTTGGGTGGGAGCAACCAACTTCACCCTCCAGGTAGTTTGCACATCAAAGTTGATGGCCAAGAGATACATTTATATCAGCTCCCAGTGGGCCTGTTGGAGGCTCGGTAGACAATGTAGATTAATTGATTTAAAACAGATAAACTCTTAAATCACATCAGCTTACCACCACAGAAGGTTATTTCTCCCACACTCATAAAATTAAATGCCAGCATTTCTAGTTAGTAGATCAACTTCCCAGATGGCGCTAGTGGTAAATAACCCATCAGCCAATGCAGGAGATGAGATCTGGGTTGAGTCCTGGGTTGGGAAGATCCCCTGGAGAAGGAAACAGCAACACACTTCAGTATTCCTGCCTGGAGAACCCCATGGACAGAGGACCCTGGCGGGCTACAGTCCATGGGGTCGCAAAGAGTCGGACACGACTGAGTGACGAAGCACACAGTAGCATGGGCAGCCTTTCACCAATCTCTCAGAAGTCAGACTCTTCCTATCTTGTGACTCTGTCCTTCTCTAGTGCCTCACAATCTTCTGTATTCAGCCAGCAGATATGGAAAAAGAAAGGGTGAAAAATAGGAGAGAGCTTTCTATGGGCCATGTCTTAAAGTGGTGTCTATCAATTCCATACACATCCCACTGGCCCAGACTCAGTCACAGAATTGTCAGGTAACATGGTCCCTGGCTGGATGGCAACTCCCCAGCAATACCCTATACTAAGGGAGGAGAACAAAAATATTCAATGGTGAGCCAGACGCATCTCCTACAGGGAATTTTGAAGTTTACAGTGAGGTTCCCAAACTGCAGAATTAAGAATCCTACACAAGACAGCACAAAGGTTAACTCCTAATTTGGGGAGGCATATTCTGGGATGGAAAAGGACTGATCTATGGAGGAACAGACTCAGGGTCCTTGAGTTCTGTCCTCAGCCACAGGTGAGAGTTAATACCATAGTCATAAAGGAAGAAATAGGTATAACAGAGATAACATGAGTACGTGTCCCACCTTGCCAAAAGTTTTCAGGAAAAAAAGCAGCTGTTGAAATGTGATCACCCTGAAATCTATTAAACCAACTGTGAAACCTAAGCCATGGTTATGCAATGAGGTATGAAGCTCCTATTATAGGAAATTTCAAAGAGGAGAATTATGAACTGGTGTGCCAGGAGAAATAAAGCAAATATGTCCCTTCAAACTAAGAAATAAGAATGTTGTTTCCATCTCTCATGGCTTTGTTTAGTAAGTTAGTGACAAACCCCAAGGCTCAGTAATGCTTATTTGAAATTTAAATGAAAATCTGGCACATAAACAGATGGGCTCTGACCTTATTCTGATTTCCACAGACCCACTCCCTATGTGGTTTTGCTCAAGGCCCCACCTCTGGCTTGCTCTCTTCCTGTGGTGGGTTTCTGCCTAGCAGCAAGGTGAGCTGCAGTCATTTTTTGATGCTGATGATAATGACAGTGCCCCTTGCAAACAGAAAGTAAGTTAAAAGAGGTCCAGCACCATACTAAAATCCTACAACCATTGAGTTTACAGTGTAGCTGTCTAGATACCATTTCTGAACAAATTTCTACCCCCACCAGGAACTGTTCTTTTCACTAAAACTTTAAAATTCACTTAACTTGTCATTCTATACTGTCTGAATCTACACAATACAATATGGTGACCACTAACCCCATGTAGCTATTGATCATGTAACATGGCTTGTCTGAAATGAAATGTGCTGTTATGTGTAAAACATAACACTGGAGTTTATACACTTAGTATGAAATATGGAACCAAATACCTCATTTATTAAAAATAATTCATTTATAACTTTTATATTAATTACATGTTGAAATGATATTGTGGACATATTGAGTTAAATATATCTTATTAAAACTAATTTCATCTTTTTAATGTTTCTGTTAGAAAATTTTTTTAAATTTTTTATTGTAGTTGATTTACAATGTTGTGTCAGTTTCTGGTGTATAGTAAAGTGCTTCAGTTATATATATATCATATAATGTATATGTATTATATGTGTTACATAATATATGTCATTTTTCATATTCTTTTCCATTATGGTGTATTACAGGATATTGAATATAGTTTCATGAGTTATAAGTGGGACTTTGTTGTTTATCTGTTTTATATACAGCAGTGTGTATCTGCTAATCCCAAACTCCTAATTTATCCCTCTTCCACCCCTTCTCCTGTTTGGGGTAACCATAAGTTTGTTTTCCATGTCTCTGAGTCTGTTTCTGCTTTGTAAATAAGTTCATTTTTATCATATTTCAGATTCCACTTATAAAGGGTATCATATGGTATTTGTCTTTGTTTTCCCGACTTATTTCACTTGGTATGATAGTCTTGAGTTAAATCCATGTTGCTGTGAATCGCAATAATTCTTCTTTATGGCTGAGCAGTATTCCATTGTATGTATACATCACATCTCCTTTATCCATTCATCTGTCAATGGACATTTAAGTGGCTTCCATGTCTTGACTATTGTAAATAGTGCTGCTATGAACATTGGGTTACAAGTATGCTTTCAAATTATAGCTTTCTCCAAATATATGCCCAAGAATGGGGTTGCTGGATCATATGGCAACTCTATTTTTAGCTTTTAAAAGAGCCTCCATACTGTTTTCCATAGTAGCTGCATATATTTCATTCCCACCAACAGTGCAGGAGGATTGCCTTTTCTTCACACCCTCTCCAGCATTTGTTAATTGTAGACTTTTCTGATTGGTGTGAGGTGGTATCTCGTAATTCTGATTGCATTCCTCTAATAATTTGCAGTATTGAGCATCTTTTCATATGCCTACTGGTTATTTGTATGTCTTCTTTGGGAGAAATGCCCATTTTTTTTAATTGGTCTGTTTAATTCTTTGTTACAGACTTGTATGAACTGTTTGTATATTTTGAAAATTAAGCCCTTGTTGGTCACATTATTTGCAAATATTTTCTCTCAGTCCATAGGTTGTCTTTTTGCTTTGTTTATGGTTTCCTTTGCTGTGCAAAAGCTTTTAAGTTTAATTAGGTCCCATTTGTTTATTTTTGGTTTTATTTCTATTGCTGTGGGAGACTGACCTAAGAAAACATTACTAAGACTGATGTCAGAGAATATTTGGCCTATGTTCTCTTCTAGGAGTTTTGTTGTATTATGTCTTATATTTGAGTCTTTAAGCCATTTTAAGTTTATTTTTGTGTATGATGTGAAAGAGTGTTCTAACTTCATAGATTTACATGCAGTTGTCCAGATTTTCCCAACTTAAGAGACTGTCTTTTCTCCATTGTATATTCTTGCCTCCTTTGTGGAAGATGAATTGATCATGGGTGTTTTGGGCCCTCTATCTCGTCCATTAACCCATATGTCTGTTTTTCTGCCAATACCACAGTGTTTTGATTATTGTAGTTTTGTAGTCTTGTCTGAAGTCTGGGAGGGTTATGCCTCCAGCTTTGTTCTTTTTCCTCAGGATTTCTTTGGTAATTCTGGATCTTTTGTGGTTTGATATAAATTTTAGGATTATTTGTTCTATTTCTGTGAAAAATGTCATGGGTAATTTGATAAAGATCACATTAAATATGTAGATTACTTTAGGTAGTATGGCCATTTTAACAACATGAATTCTTCCAAGAGCATGGGATATTTTTTCCATTTTTTTGCATCATCTTCAGTTTCCTTTATCAATGGTTTATATTTCTCAGCATATAGGTCTTTCACCTCTTTGGTCAGGTTTATTCCTAAGGTTTTTGGGTTTTTTTTTTTTTTTTTTGATGTGATTTTAAAAGGGATTTTTACTCTCCCTTTCTGATATTTCATTGTTAGTGCAAAGAAATGCAACAGATTTCTGCATGTTAATCTTTATCCTATCCTATTACCTTGCTGAATTTATCAGTTCTAGTAATTTTTGAGTCTTTATGGTTTTCTATTTATAGTATCATGTCATCTGCATATAGTGACAATTTTACCTATTCCCTTCTACTTTGGGTAACTTTTCTTTTTCTTACCTGATTACTGTGACTAGGACCTCCAACACTATGTTAAATAGAAGTGGTGAGAGTGGGCATCTTTATCTTGTTCTAGATTTTAGCAGGAAAGCTTTCCGCTTTTCACTGTTGAGTAATATGCAAGCTCTGAGTTTGTCATAAATACCTTTTATTATGTTGAGATATGTTCCCTTCTGTACCCACTTTGGTAAGAGTTTATCATCAATAAATGTTGAATTTTATCAAATGCTTTAGAACATTTAAAATTACCTATGTGACATTTGATTATTATGGAACCAAGGTAAATACTTCCCTAATGTTTTGTTTGAGAGTGTGTGTGTGTGTGTGTGTGTATAGAGATGTGTGCCTTCAAATGGTAAGCCCTTTGAGGATAACTACATCATATACTTTTTTATATGCCTGCTGTATTCAGTAGAATCCACTGCAGTTAGTAAATTCATATTTACTGAATTTCTGAAAGCATTCTGGCTCATTCTGGTATTTCATGCCAGACAAATGGCAGTGGCTGTGCCTAGGGGCCTTCAATTACCTGGGGTGGTGGCTGGGGGAGGCAGGTCTGAGGGAAGTCTCACCATGGAGCAACCAAGCTGAGAAGGACTTCTATGGGCTCCTGTAGTCAACCTGAGTTTTCCTCATGAAACTCTCTCCAGGCACACAGTGTCCACAGACCCTGGAGCTGTCTGCCAGCTCTGTTAATCATTCACTACCTTTGGCTTCCTTCTCGGCTACTCATGGGCAGTGTCTGGTTTGGGGTAGGTGATTCTTATCTTCAAAGTCTTGATCAGGATGTTCACGTTGTAACGAACAACATGCAGATATGGTGCCTGAGCAACCCAGACAGGACCTGAAGTGGGGCTTCTTGTCCTCATATGTGCCACTTTAAACCTCACATTGGTATTGGGTCAGTGTTGCTATTTTCCCTCCTCCTCTGGCCTCTGGCTCACAGTTGCCAGGAACAACTGTCAAGGAGAGTGTGGGAGCTGGAGGAAGCTCTGCTGCTCCCCACTCACTAGGATCACAGCCTCAAAGTAGTAGAAGCAACAGTAAGAATGAGCAAATGTGGCTCCTCTTGAGGCCTGCAGACCATGTACTTCCTGTCCCAGCCCTGCTGATACGCAGAAGAGCAATACATCTTGTGCTTCTCCCAGATCAAATCCAAAAACCCAAGACAATCCCTGGGGTTCTTACCTCCCGACTTGCTTCAGAAGTGTCACCCAGATTTTCCCCTTGAATATCCTTCCTCTGATCATCGAGCCCTATGTGGCTCTCACGGTGTTTTGATAATTCAACAAAAGGGAGATGGAGACAGGAGATAAATATTCTCCTTTCTGTGCAATAATATTCATGCTGTTTATTTTCACTTTAATAGAAGGTTAAGTTCAACACAATTTTTCTTTTCAGGTGAAAGGTATGACATGCAGCAAGTCAAAGGAGAACTCAAATTTATGACTTCCAGTTGATGCATTTTTCACTTCTTCATGCTGCCTTCTTAGAACTGTGTTTCTGTATCTCAAAGAAAACAGCTGTCACCTCGATTATGGAATTACAGATGACTTGTATTGCTCTTTTTGTGAATGTATTTTACCTAATTTTTCTACAATGCCTATACATTGAATAAAAAATACATGTTAAAAATTTTTTAAGAGCAAACTCCCTCAGAAAGCTGAATTAAGCTCTTCCTAATTTACTTTCACACTCAAATCCCTAGCCCCACCAAATCTCTCAATAGCAAGAAGAAATCTGAATTGCTGTCATCCTCAAAGGCAGAAAGATTTAACTTTTTTTCTGGTATTGATTAGACTTGAGAATGTACGGGTAGTTGTGTAGGAGTGAGGTCTCAGAGGCAGTGCTGTGAGCTGCATGTAAATTCTCCTCCTCTTCACTAGGGGCACTATCAGCACACAGGTGCTGCCTCTCTGCCCCACAGCATTGCTTCCTTGAAGAGGATGGTTATGCAGACTGTGAGGTCAGTACTGTTCATGTTGAGGGGTGAACTTCCTCTTCCCTCACCATAATTATCACCCCCAGAGAAACTCCCACTGCTTGTACCTCCTACAATAAACCCAAAACCATCGTAGGCTTCACATTCCCTGTACTTCGTTCTTCACCATTCTTTCTTCCTTATACTCAGCTGGCTGTTACCAATACCTAGGCCTCTGTCTTCTGAGGTGCATTAGACACTAGTGGAGTCATAGATAAATGAAACTGATGGGCTAATCCATGCTAGAATGCAAATGGCCAACACCAGCTCACTGGAGTCACTCCTCTCGACAGAACCAGCATTTCAGGGATTACACCTTAATTTCTTTTATCAGTTAGAGATGGATCACGGGAATATGAATTTTTCAAGGATATTAGACCTTACGCATTTGGAGTAAAGAAGTCTATGGAAGGCTTTTGGCTCTCTTCTGTGTGGTGGGCTGGCGGTCCTTTCATCTATGAGTGGCAGCAGTCAGGAAGAAGTATGTTACACACAAAAAAATAATTTGGGAAAGAGCGAGGACAAATTGCAACCTGTGAAGACAGGCTACAGTTTGTCTTCCTCTCGTCACCTCACAGTTCAGTGGCAGTTGGCTTGCAGAAGCTTGTGTCCTTTACACAAAGAGAAGCTGAGGGAGCTATAGGCCTGACTGCCCATACCAAGGTAAGCAGATCAGTAACTGAATGTGTGAGCTGTAGGGGCACCTGGTACCCTACACCTTCAGAGTATAGTAGGTTGCTGCTTTACTTTCATCTTCAGATTCTTATCTAAACTTCTCTTGCAGTCAACTCAATCTTAAACCACATAGGGAAGGTTAACTCTGGGAAACATGGCTCAAGCTTAGTCAGGTTGACACAGTACAAAATATCCAGTCCCTAAAGTCAGTATCAAAAGGTAGATTTTCAGATCCATTTACTGGCCATTAGAGATGCTGATGTGGGGAGACAAATGTGGGAATGTAGAGAGATAAGGAGTGGAGAGGAAGTGAGCTTTCTTGGTGATCCTCAAAGCAAGTCTACAAAAGAACAATAGAAAAGCCAGATAGGTGCAAAATATATTCATGTATACAAATGCTTTTAACTATATGTGTCCAGAAAGAAAACCCTGTGATTGGGCCAGAGTTATGTTTGAGAGGTGCTGAAGGACACCTAAGGATTTGTGGGTGCTCAGGCTTCCTCATGAGACCATGGCAACCCCTAGTCCCACTCCATCCTCCTCTCTCCTCTGAGTACTGGGTAGGCAGTCCTAGGGGGAGGAAGCCATGGGAGAAAGGGACAAGTGTGACCAGAAGCACCCCAAGGGCCCTAGAGGGGGCCTCTAAAGGCACGTTCACCAGCTTTCTTCTTTGGCAGAAGCCAGTTAGTTCCCAGTGTTCCAGAATGGAATGGAACAATGAGGCTTTATGCCACTAAAGTCGTAGGCTTGTTTCAAGAAGCATTTCCTCTCTGTGGGGGAGCGGTGGGTGGGGCAAAATGATAAAAGTTGGTGGAAGGCAACTCTATCCAAAGTCCAGACCTTGAGGTGGCCCTAGAAGGACGTGCCTGGGTTTTACTCTTCTCGCCTTCATTAGATCGATTTGTGATTCAATGGGAACCTTTATCGGTCACGTGTATCCAGGGTTGTTCCTACTTGCATATGGACTGTATCGAGCAGTAGTGGTCTCCAAAGCTGTGATATTCAGCAACTCTTTCCCAGATCCTTCTTTGCCTCCCAAGAATAAAGGGAGATGGGCCAGGCTGTGGAAAATGTCCCACGGAGGTTTGCTGAAGATGCTGGCTGGCTCTGGCTTGATGGCGTATGAGATCAGCTGCGTTGAGAGAGGGTTGACACTGATGAACAGGGACCTGCCACCGAGATTCACGTACGCCAAACAGTGGCAGCACCTCACCATGTTCATCCTCCTTACCCTCAATGGCTGTATAGACATCATGAGCAAAAATTTGCTGCCTCAGCGCTGTGTGCCCCTAGAGAAAGGCATCTTGGTGCTGACCTTTTACGTGCTCCTGCTGCTGTTGGCGTCGCATGTCCAGGACTCTGCGGGGGTGGAGCTGCAGGTTCACTCTCTGCTCATCTTGGTGGTGTTGCTGCTGATGCTGGTGTTCACCGCCGAGCTGTGGGCTCCCGATATGTTTCAACTCGCTGTGATTGAGACCTTTCTATTTCAGATGATGGGTTCCTGGCTGGTACAGGCGGGCTTCATTCTGTACAAACCAGTCTCTGGCTACCCGTGGGAGGATGATGACATTAGTGACATCATGTTTGTTACCACCTTCTTCTGCTGGCATGTGATGATCAATGCTTTGTGCCTGCTGGGAATCTATGGAGTGTCTTCCTTTTGGCATCGTTGCTACCATCATAGCTGGAAGCTGATGGGGTCCAGAGAAGCTCCATGTTACATATACTCCAAGAGACCCCTCTACCAATTGCTACAGGAAGTGGAGCAGTCAGAGAAAGATGACCAGGCTCTCCTTTCAAAGAATTCACCCTGAGACAGGGCTTGGAATGCCTGGCTCACTGTTTACCCCATCTACCCCCTTGTGGGTTCTCCCAGACTTGCAGTGTACCCTCTTTGGTCCCTGGTGAAGACATAGTGGCCCTAAAGGAGAGCCACTGGTCTCCACCTGCCAGTGCACCTCCTGTCTCTGAACATCTAAACATTGGGGAGACGAGAAGGGGATGCTGAAAGGATTGATGGGGTTGGGAGATGGGAGGAAGAGGAAGTGCGCAAGGAGAGTCATAGGGGGAGAGAATGCAATAGAAGGGGGGGCTATGAAGGGGTGAGAGGAGAGTCTGTTATTCACCACCAGATGCTTCTCCAGGCACAAGTGACTGTCTGCCTTTTACCTGATGGAATATTGATTTCTCACAACTCAAAACTAGAATCATTCATCTCATCCTGACAAAGAATAGTGGGTACGTCCGCTTACTTAGCAAAGTGGCACCACCATATGGAAGAAAGATACATAGAATTTATAATCTATATTGGTTGAAATGACACTTTGCCAACTCTTCTCTCCGCCACCCCCCACCCCAACTTTCTAATGACTGGCTTCATTTCAAATTCAAATAAATAAAGTAAAACTTTATTAATGTTTTGCTATGGTGACATTTCAAATTTGCAGGCTTAAAACTTTTATAGAATTCAAATGTTCAATCTCTCTCCAACTTCCTCCTTTAGTACTCATATACCAGTCACCATCACTACCACGGTGCATATAATTTACTAGATCCTGTCCCCCTTGGGTTGTGGCAAATTTCACTGTCTTGCATCTCACAGAAAGCCATCCCACAATCACATCTTTGCCATGTTCTTTGGTACCCAGCATAAAAGCCACCTTCATCCCAATCCCACTGAGCACCTCCAAGGAGGCCTTCTCCAAGTCATTCCTACTGACTCCCTTGTTCTGGAACTCCTAAGCACTTATGCTACACCTGCCTTGTTAATTTGCTTACACAGCTGACACTTCGCTTTGTTCTGTTTCTGCAAACATTTTCCCTGAGCAGGTTCTTCCTCACCACATTGAGTGTAGTCTCCTAAGAGGTAAGGACTTTGTCATAGCCAAGTTACATAACTTCCTATGTATGCACCAAATATGTACCATAGGTGATGCTTAATAAAGGCTTTTTTGCTTCCAGAATTTCCGCATTCCTGTTCCTTCAAAACGTGTTGCTGGACAAACCCAAGGTTCTGGGAACCTCTGGAAGACACCAACAGTCCTAAAGCCTGAGTCACCTCCTTAGCAATGGGCCCACTTTCTTCCTCATTCTTGGGATAAGGAAATCCACTAAGCTGTTTCTGAAATGTTTACTCTGTTATTATTTTTTTAATCCTCACATGTGTTTCTATAAGGAACCTCTAGAAAGCTGAGACTCAGCAGGTTGACTTGTCCAAACCTTTAATTGGTACAAGGCAAAACAGGAATTCAAGTGCAGGTGTGTCTGACTGAAGCCAGTGACTATGTCCTCTGGGCCACGGTGACTGTGCCGATGGCAATGGAAAAGGGAGTGACCCTCAAAATGAAATTGTTGAGGGACCTGCCTGGTGGCCCAGTGGTAAACAATACGCCTTGCAATGCAGGGGACGCAGGTTTGATCCCTGTTTGAGGAACTAAGATCCCACATGCCTTGGAGCAACTAAGCCTGCATGCTGCAACTACTGAAGCCCGTGTGCTCCGCAGCCTGTGTGCCACAACTAGGGAGCGCGTATGCCGCAACTAAAGAGCCTGCGGTGCCAGCAATGAAAGATCTGCATGAGGCAATGAAGATCCCGCTTGCTGCAACTAAGACCCTTCACAGTCAGATAAATAAACTGTTGAAAGAAAGGAAATAAAGGAAGAAAGTCAGCCAGAAAGCCCAGCTGGAGCAAAAGGCATAGTACAAATACTCTATAGACCCCCCAAAGAGTGCGTCTGTCACTTTCTGTCCATGACCACCCCCAAAGTCTCCCCTGGGAGTGAAAGTCTGGCAGGCTTTCAACCTCTAGCTAGGCCTTAAATGTCTGGGCTCAGATCCGAGTGAGGGCTGAGAGTAAGAACTGTTTGTGACCAAATTTTCTGATCCTTGCTATTTCTGCTTAACTCTTGGCTCCTAGATTCTTTTCAATTACCTTTTTTGGGGAACTCCTTTTCTCTTTACCTCTCATACACACTGATGGGAGATAATGAAAAAGCACAGATGCTGCCGGTGGCCTGTTTCTAGTCACTTGAGGTCAAATTTTATAATGATAAACAAACCAAGTAATCAATTAATACCCCCAACATATTATCTCTTAAATATCCAATGTAGATAATAAACTTGAATGTTATTAATTTATCATATAGTATTTGAGATGTAATAGAGAAGCCTTGAAGGCCCGCTAAGACTTCCTAAACACCTCTAAGGTTATACGGAGAAATTTGCAATTCTCACAAAATTCCACCAGAGGGCACTATATCCGCATCAACCCCAGCCAAGCATCTCATTCTCCAACCCAGTAAACAAGTCTCCCAAGTACCGGTTCAAAAGAAGTGGGGGGAGGGGAAAGGAGGTCAGGAAAAATACAGAACCAAGTATCCAGAAAACATACCCAAGGGCTGTTTGTTTACTGTTAAAATTTGGCATGCAATTGTGAAATAAACAGGGATTCAAATCAACTAATGGGATGGGGGTGAGGGAGGAAGGGCTGTGGACCCAGCTGAGGACATCTTCGAGAAGAGCACCAACTAAAGGACATCCTCTGATCCAAGTTGTTTTTGACCATAATGCTAAATTTCCTAAACTTTTAAATAAGCTTCAATAATGTTCCAATTAATCTAGAGAACAAAGATAAATCCATATAAATCTCAATACATTGAGAACAGGAACAACACTTCCCAGATTCACAAAACCATGAAACAGGTTATTAAACACACAAAATGATCTCCAAAGATTCCTTTTAAAAAGAACCTGTTACACAGTAACTCCCCTGCCCTGGAATATACTGAATATCTACTATGTGAGGCAGCACGGGGGAAGCCACAATGAAGGACTCAGAGGTAAACCGGTTGGTTCCTGCACTGTGGGTACAGTAGGGATTTCAGAATTTAGAGGTGGTGCCCAGGAATGCATCGTCCCCAGCCTGAGAAGGCTGAAGGAAGGGAAACAGAAAAAGACTCTCAAGGGAGCTATACCTTGGAAACATGTAAGGCTGTGAAATACTGCACTAAGGTGATTCAAGCAAGAGGTTACAAATGAGCAAGCCCTCAGCTTTCTCACCGTTAAGCTAGAATGATGTAAAGATTAATTCTAGAATGGAATGGCTGTAATTTTCTCGGTAGGACTTATTTTACCATGTCATTAGCTAAGATGAACTTACTTCCTCCCAATTCTCCAAGCAGTTTCCTTTTAGAGGTAGATTTGGGGTAAGGCTCAAGACCTAAACCTTCAGTCATAAGGTGTAGGCTGTGAAACTAAGTGTTCTCTACATTTGAATGATTTCAAGGGGCCTTCAACAAAACTCAATTCAGACTAAACAAAAATAGCTGAGACTTGAACTTGCCATTTCCTAACCTGAGCTTAAGAGTATACAACAATCAGAAAGGATATAAAGAACAGTTCCTCTGGGTTCAGTATTAGATAATACTGAATTGAGGTGAAACCTGGTTTTTCCTTCTTTACTTATATAGCTTCAAGTCTGAAAGCTCGGTTAATTGCAGCTTCTCCCCCAAATTTGCTTTAAGAGTAATGACATCAGCTTCCAAGGCTGTTTCTTTTCCTTTTGTTTTATTTTTGTTTTGCTTTTAGATTTTACAATGGTCTATTCTTTTGGAAAGAACTGGTGTTTGTTTATTAAAAAGAGAAAAAATTTATAATGCTGGGTTGGGTTTCCAGGGTGTTCCTCAAGCCTGAGTCTCAGCTGTCTTTTTAGCATGGGTTAAGGGTTTTGTTCGCTGCCTACTGAAATCATCCAAATGTTGGAAAAACTCCATTTCCCAAACTACATGTTCTGCTTGAAGGTTTGAGTATGTTTGAGCCTTACCCCAAATCTTGTCTCTAATGAGTGCAAGGCAACCAACCACATAGGCCCTAGGAAGGCACACTCAGGTCACTAGATTAAGGGTTTACGATCTGCAAAGAGAGACTGGGTCCTTTAAAAGAGAAAGAAATTGAGAGGACTCACAGGTAATGTCCACCCAAAACAAGGTCTTTATTTCAAGCAGCAGAACACTGAAGAAGTCCTTTTTTTCAGTACGCAGCCATTTCCGCAGATTTGGAACCAAATTTTGACCTGTGATGTTTCTCTCCCACTCCACCCACCCCTTGGACCCAGCTACTCTAAAAGCCTGACTTCAAAGCCCATGAAACAGAATCCCCTGTCTGCTTTGATACTGGCTGTACCAGGAGACAGAAAGAGTTCACGGGTTCAAGTGCTCTAATGCTTTTTAGGGAGCGGGAGGAGACTTGGGGGTGGGTGTCCATTTAGGGAAGAAGTAGAAAGAGAACAAAGGGCAGCAGACACAGCGAAGTCAAACTAGATGAAACAGGCCTTTCTCCTTCTAACTTCTCTAAAAGTCCAGTCTGGGTTTCTGGGGGCAAACCAGTTAGTTTAAGCGCTTCCTTCTGCTTTTTCTTCCTTCATACTCTTTTAAGCTTCCCTGAATAGTCCTTGAACTCATTTGGGCCCTAATTCAGTTTGGTTAAGTAAGTGGGGGCTGACTAAGGAGCACAAGGCCTCTTGTTCTGCCTGAAAAACTCAGTGGTCATGTATTACCTTGCTAACCCTCACAAAGTACGCCCCCGGTCACATGAATGGATCAAAGCAAATCCATTTCCACTCTTGGAAAAGCAGCTCAAAGCACATGTTCTCTTGATGGTGCCGCTGTCAGTTCTGTGTGGTCAACAAACATCAGTTATTGACCAGTTATTGACCCCCCTGGACACTACTGGGGGACACAAGATGAATAAGGTAGGTTAAGACATCAGGCAGGGCAGCAGGCTGACTCACACACTAGAAGCTTTAAGAACTGTGCTTGCCTCTTAACTTTTCTATTTTCTATTCCGTGTGCCATCCCTACCTCGGGTGCTGGCGGTGACCAGTACAGTAGCAGGCTCTAGCTCACTTCTGGCAGTCTGGCAAGTGAAAATTAACGTTTGCTTAAAAGAAGAACATGGCCTTTCCCCTCCCATCACCCCCTCCTCAACCATTTAAACTCAAGATTTCACAGAAATAAATGGAATGAAGACAGCTCACTTTGTTATCAGATCTAAACCCACCCTCATAAAACTAACAGTGGCACATTACCCAGAGTTAGAAAGTTGTACTTCATGGGTTATGGCAGGGAAAGAAATAATCTAATCCCTTCAGATTATCTTGGCCTATAATAATTACAATTATTGTTTTCTAGCATTTGCTGTATGTGTGTGCCATCATAATTAAGCCTTACAATATACAAGGCAGTTGTTATGCCTAATTTGTAGGCAAGGAAACTGAGGCTTCAGGGCTATGCATCCACCTAAATACAAAGCTGGAAAGAAGTCAAGACCAGATTTGAACCTACATTGCCTGACCTGAAGCCCAGCTTTTCACCATCATTTGAAGGATCACAAGTTTAAGTGCAAGTATAAGCACAGAATCTCTTACACTTGCAAGGAGACTTGCCTGGTCCAGAATGTCACTTGTCTGAAACATACCAAAAGCCTCTGTTTGAGATGAATCTCGAGTCTGTCATCTTAAAGCACTGCACTGTTAGCCACACTCTCAGAGGGGAGGGATGTTGACCAAAGAAGCCAAGTTATGTGTGTGGTCACAAGCAACATTTCTTTTCCATATTTGTGGTACAAAAAATAACCAGAAGAGCAAACTTTTTCCCCTCCTCTTCCAAAGGTCCTGGAAACATGATTTCTTAGTTTTCAAACAGAAAATATCATATACTGGGGCTCTTGAAAGGTGCGATAAAGGCTAGACACCAGCAGGAGGATTAAGACAATAAAAACAGTATGATTAAATCTTATCACTGGTAGCAATGAAGACATTATATTCATGTGTTGTATACATATATATAGAACTGTGTATCTGTTGACAAACATCCCTTTCAAGACTTTGTTGACACACACATTTTCTCAACTATCCTAATAAGGCTCTGAGGAGAGAAGAGGAAGGGGTACAGATTTCAAGGACGTGCAATAAATTACATGAAAAACAACACCAGACAGAACTTAAATTTTTGACGTACCCTAGGTTTCAAAGGGGGAGATGCCAAGACCTCAATCCCCGGTCAGGTGCCCCTGGGAAACGGTTCGCACAGAGGATTTCAAATCTGTTGCGCGGCTCTAAAGGTCCTCTCTTGAACCGCTTTATTTGATTTGCAGATGAGAGAACTTGGGTCCAGAGAGGCTGCAGAGTTGCCTCAGGTGTGGCAGAGGCCGACTCTGTCTCCGCCCGCCGGGATCCTCTCTACGCAAGGAGACAAAACACAGCGCGTTCACTACAAACGGGAGATGGGAGACTTCAGGTCACATCCCCAAACCCGCCGAGGGGGCCGGCCAGGGGGCTCTGTCCGGCCTACCTCCGGCAGCCCCCC